AACAATCGGCCAACAAACAAACAACCAACAATAAGTAAACAAACAACAAACAATTAACAAACAAAAACAAACAACCAACAATAAGTAAACAAACAACAAACAATTAACAAACAAAAACAAACAACCAACAATAAGTAAACAAACAAACAACAAACAATAAGTGAACAAACAAACAAAAAACAATAAGTAAACAAACAAAAAACAAACAACAAACAATCGGCCAACAAACAAACAACAACCAACAATAAGTAAACAAAGAATAAAAAACATCAATCAGCAAACAAACAACAAACAAACATCAAACAACAAACAAACAACCCACAATAAGTAAACAAACAAATAGCAAACAACAACCAACCAACAAGTAAACAAACAAAATACTAACAACCAACAATAAGTAAACAAACAACAATCAGCAAACAAAAAACAAACAACCAACAATAAGTAAACAAACAAACAACAAACAATAAGTGAACAAACAGACAAATGACAATAAGTAAACAAACAACAAACAATAAACAAACAACAATCAGCAAATAAACAACAAATAGCCAACAATAAGTAAACAATCAACAATGAGTAAACAAACAAACAACAAACAATAATAAGAAAACAAACATTAAACAACAACCAAACAAACAACAATCAATCAACAAACAAACAACAATAAGTAAACAAACAACAATCAGCAAACAAAAAACAAACAACCAACAATAAGTAAACAAACAATCAAATAAACAACAAACTATTGGCCAACAAACAAACAACAAACAACCAACAACCAACAATAAGTAAACAAACAACAAACAATCACCAAACAAAAAACAAACAACAAACAACCAACAATAAGTAAACAAACAAACAACAAACAATAAGTAAACAAACAAACAACAAGTAAACAAACAATAAACAAACAACAATCAGCAAACAAACAACAAATAGCCAACAATAAGTAAACAAACTAACAACAAACAATAAGTAAACAAACAAACAACAATAAGAAAACAAACAAGAAACAACAACCAAACAAACAAACAACAATAAGTAAACAAACAAGGAACAATAATCAAACAAACAGCAAACAATCAGCAAACAAACAAACAACAATCAGCAAACAAACAAACAACAAACAAACAACAATCAAACAAACAACAATCAAACAAACAATCAGCAAACAACAAACAATCAGCAAACAAACAACAAACAAACAACAATCAAACAAACAGCAAACAAACAACAAACAAAAAGCAAACAAACAACAAACAACCAGCTAACAAACAACAAACAAACAACAATCAAACAAACAACAAACAATCAGCAAACAAACATCAAACAAACAACAATCAAACAAACAACAAACAGCAAACAAACAACAAACAATCAGCAAACAACAACAACCAACAACAAGTAAACCAATAAAAAACAATAAACAACAATCAAACAAACAAACAAACAACAGACAAACAACAAACAATCAGCATACAAACCACAAACTAACAACAAACAACCAACAATAAGTAAACAAACAAACAATCAATCAAACAAACAAACAAACAACAATCAAATAATCTAATGAAGTGTCTGTGTTACAAATCTTAAAAATCTTTCTTAGTTACTAGACTTTTTGTTATTTTATGTTTCTACAGACATATCTGACATAATAATACAGAATATATAATAATATAATAATAGTATATATAATAATATAATAATAATACATATAATAATATAATAATAATACAATAATAATATATATATTAATATAATAATGATATATATTAATGAGCCGGCACCGCCTCCAAACAACACCAGCTGTGACACCTCTGATGAAGACAGAAGCAAACGTTGAAACATGTCAGGAATGTTTGTAGAGACATCAAATAACAGGGTTCAGTAACTAAGAAAAAAGTTTAAGAACAAACAAACAAACAGCAAACAAACAAACAAACAAACACAAACAAACAAACAACCCACATTCAACAAACAAACAAGCAAAGAAAAACAACAAACAAAGAATGGATCAGGGGTAGTAGCTGTGAGTTATCTCCAGCTGGACTCTGAGAGCTGAACAGTTCTTATCTGAGTGGTTCTGATCCGACTGGACCCTGTTGTTCAGGACTAACAGAACCTGTTTGATTGTCAGAGAGAGAGGCTCCAGGTCTGATGTGGACCAGGCAGTCCTGTGATGGGGGCTCACCTGAGTCAAAGTACAGCAGGTAGATCAGGTTGCAGCCGTCAATCAGCAGCCGGCTCCTCCTGAAGCGGGTCTCCATGTAGACCCTGTGGTGGTTCTCCAGGAGTCTGGTCAGTCCCTGAACACCCATGACTGGTCTGAGTCCTGCTCCTGCTCAGGTCTGCTGCTCTTATCAACACTCTGAGGATCAGTTTCTGTTTCTGTAACTTTCATTTTCCTCACCTCACTTTATTACAGCTGATGTGACATCAGCTGGCAGACCCAGTCAGAACTCTGACGTCACAAACCTGGACCTGGTGCCCTCTGCAGGCTCACACTTGTACTTTTTATTCCTTTTCTTGTTGCTAAACTTAATACTTTATTCAAATATTACTTGTCATAAATAGTGAGTGAAAAATAAAACCGGTCCAAAGTGTCATCAGGTCCGTGGTTCTGGTTCTGCTCTTCAACAGAACAGTTTTATGGGTTTCTGCTGAAGTTGGTTTCTGATTCATCAGATGAATAAAGGGTTAGGAACAACAGAACAGCTCAGGATCCTCTGGAACAGTAAAATCATTCATTTGGGTCTTTTTACATGAAAATGACAGTTTTTAAACTTTAGTTTCAGCTACAAACAGATTTTAACTGATTACATGTTTTCATCTGTTAATCACAATTAATCATGATTTATCTTAAACTTAATATAAAACTTATTGCATATTGGTAAAACAAATTACTTGAGTTATTACTACTACATACTTACATACTACTACTATGTTACTACATGAGGAATGAGATGAATACTGAGGTCACAGCTGTCAGCAAAACGTAAAAAAATAAAATTTAATCATGTTTAAAATGTTTAATCTGTGTCCGTGTGGCAGTAAAATTAATCAGTTAACTCGTTGTTTTGTTGTGGTGTGTGTGTGTGTGTGTGTGTGTGTGTCTGTGTGTGTCTGTGTGTGTGTGTGTGTGTCTGTGTGTGTCTGTGTGTGTGT